TCAAAATCACGTCTTCAAACGTCCAATTCTAACTCTTCAATTATCGACCTCCCCATATCGGAAACTAGAAAGATCAGCGCGAAAGTTCAATTCAAGGTTGTACAACTGTGACATTTTTGAAGAGTAGAACGTGCGCCGTATTTATGCATGATTTGACCTTGAAAATTCATGGAACTATGCAAGATAACCGATAGTAGAACTTTCTAGGGCATGGTTGACCAACAAGATTGAGCACATTAGGGACTCGCGTTACTGTTCATGCATTCCGACACATTCCACGAATTCTGTGAAATCCTCATTGTCTTATTGGTTGACTTCCATTTTTCATATAAATGCACTGGTTTTCAGGAGATTTGCCTTCCTAACAACGAATGGCCTTTTCAATCAACTGGAGGATAGGAAATGTCAAGGTAGTGGTTGAAAATGTTCAGAAAATGCAATAAATTTTGATGCTTTTGAGACCGATATGATCGTGGTCGGCCCCCAGCTGCAGATGACACTTGGTGTCAGTGATTTCTTCGCACCGTAAACCTGACTAACTAATTTTTCCTCTTCTGTCTTCCAGAAAGCAAAGGAATGGCACGAAAAGCTTTCACAGTTTGCGGATTTGGTCGCTTCCATCACTCGCTTGCGTGATCGTATCCAACGATTACCGTCACGCAGTATTGCTTGTGAACTAGCGCCGTATGTGACCGAGGTTCACACTGTACTTGGAATGGTTTTGGATTACTTGCTCTGGTTAGGTAAGGTGCCATCACCTCAATTACGCACGCCGTCGACTAATTTCCGCCGTTAATAATTTCGACTACTGAATAATGTGAAAGTAGTGAAGGTTGTTATCTCAAAATGTCTCCCGGTTAACCCTACGGTTCTGTACATCTCTGTTCTTGAATTAGCTTTTGGGTGGTTTTCATTTTCAAATGTGCAGCAAATTCCTAAATTGCATTGAGTTTAAACGTGTGATATTTTTAACGATTCCAATAAACTACTCTGTGAATTCGGTGTTCACACATTTTAGTTCATCGAGCTGACCATACACTGAGGATATTTTTTTCACTTCATTTTAGAAACCGGTGTTATGGCTACGCGTAGTATGTGCCATCTGCGTCGATTATTAACATGTAAGTATTTTCGTTTTTTTTTACTCCACGTGAATCCCATTATTTCTTTATGTTCGGTCAACTTGACACGGACGGACTTCGAATCAGAATGAAGGATGATCACACTTTTTCATTTTCAGGGTTTTCACCAGGCTACCGGGACATGGTGACATCCGGCGATCAGGAACCATGGACATTCCGAGGTGGTCTGATTACGGAACTTCAGGTACGATTAGTAAAGAATAATGAGATTCACATTTAAGGTAAAAATGCAATTTTCCGGAAGTTGTATCGTCACACCTCATCTAGTTTTGAAAAAAATAATGAAGTGCTGCTTCCGCTACTTTCCCTTGTTCTCACTTCCTCTTGTTTTCTTCCCTTGGAACTCTTTTTAGTTTATTCATTGTTATCCGAGAGCCATGACTTCTGCAGTGTAATCTGTTCCACACTAGTAGTGAATGTTGACTCATTGTATGCCAGAAATTATTCTGCACACAAATGGTGTATCACCGTTTTGCTATTCTTTATCAAATCAAAGCGAAAACCGCTTAAAAGGCATTAAGACTTTTGGGCATTCTATCGATTTAAATAAGTTGTGAAAACAGTGAAGGACATGAAACTGTCAAACGGTCAGAACATCGAGTGATAACCCGCCCGCCCCACCCCACCCCGATTGCTCATAATCATGAATGGGTTTCCGGTCAAGTTTTTTTGTACCCACGAGAGCATCAAATATAGAAATGGGACGGATTTCATTTGATTAATCGGTGCCTTTGGTAGCCTTAGAAGTTTGCATTTAACTTTAATAAGTGAATGTCCCACGAATTTTATTACGAAAGTCCTTAGTGTTCCAAGGTCGACCGTTAGTGATGCTAAAACACTATTTGCTTCTGCGTACATCACACTTTACTTGCCGATTATTCCACTCAATCGTGAAAATATCGATCTATTATAAGGTTCGATGAAGATCGGTCAGAGCCTCGCCATGCACACACATACACACACACACACACACACACACACACACATATATATATATATATATATATATATATATATATATATAT